CACTCGAATCTGAATTGTACCACTTTGATTCGATTGAAATCGCAAGGAGATGTACAGTTTGGTGCCAATGAATTATAAATTTGTATTTGTTATTATATAAGCGCATGCACTTATAAATCTGACTCAATTATAAGCGCACCCCCCCAAAAAACACCGTTTTATTATAAGCGCATGTGCGCTTATATCCGGGGTATTACGGTACCTCACCGTGTGAATATTCCCATAGAACCCCTTCGGATTCTTCCGAATAACCTTGAGAGTTGACAAAAGCTTTGCTGTCCGTTCCGCCAAATTCTTGCCAAGCACGCCGCTGCATAGCCATATACCGTTCTCCTTTTCGAATTGATATTCGCACGGCAGATCCATCACCTTGGGACCGTTCGATCCCGCTCTTGCGCTGTGTATATGCGTCGCGGTCGGCGGCATTTTGCCCAGCATGTGAAAAGCTGCCAGTCTGTACTCGAGCCACGAAGGCTGGCCGTTTTCCCTGAATATCACGAAGCCACATCATCACGGGGTTACCGGGGAAGAATTGACGGACACGTGAATCACATGACAGAGTGCGGTTTGAACATGGAAGACTAAACCCGGCATCATCAGAGCACCCATTGGCTCTCCTCTGTTAGAGCTGCAGAATTCAAGCCTGGCAAACTCACATGTGGATATCCAGTCTCATTACAACCGATCCGCGTGGGTCGCCCACGGCGTTCCTGGCAGCTTTGGAGCCATTCTTGGGAATCTCGAGCTTGCCCAACAGGGTGGCACCTAAAGCGTCTGTTGAACGAGATACGAGGGGGAGAGGGGATGGATGGGGAGGGGGGATGTGGGGGGGAAGAGGGGCGGGTTGGGTGGTTGGGAGGGGATGGTGGAGGTGAGGTCGCAGCTTGGCAGTGAGACATTGAAAGAGAGAGGGTCGTGACCAGCATACAAACAACGAACATGGCTCTAAAAGCCAAAGCATATTGGGCCTACACTGATCGTTTGACTATCCCAACAAAGCACAAAGACAAAAATGTCCACATGATTCAACAGTGTGACTAACAAAAGGCCAACTTCAGGGAGGGCGAACTGTATCGTTAAGTAAAAATGATGGTCCGGACATTGAGACATTGCTTATTGGTTAACCACGATCGTGACATTGAGGGAGAGGGTGAGTTCGGGTTGGAAGGAAAGTCACACGCCATTGAGATTTCAGAGTGAGATTAAAATCCACGGCGGACATGTGGTGTTCATACGCGGAACATATATTTTTGGGTATGCAAACGTGTGTTAGAGGGCCCTACAACAGCAAGGGCCCTCGATCACCTTTGACTTGGCAGGTCGACGCCTAACGACTGAGTCTACTCGGCACCGATGAATGAGTTCAGTGAAGGTCGGGTGTGACTACGTGTGACTATGTGCAACTGCGCAGGAGTTCGCATGAAGAAGCGAGAGTCCGTGGGAGTCGTTGGTGCTTCCTTGAGAGTCGCACCACTCCTTGCTGTGTTGGTGGAGTGGTGTGCACGGAAGCGAGAAGTCGATGCTGAGTTGGGTTGGGAAATTGGCGAGGCGCGTTCGCTCACCCACACACCACTTTCGTGGGGTTGGGTTACTCGCAGCGCCCACGCAACCTCTTGTGAAACCCTCGCCTGCCTATATATGTTTGTGTTGCTTGTGTGTTTGATATAATTTTATATGTTCCTAGTGAAGTCCAAAATGCTACTTCAATTCTCACCAAGTCCTTAGAGGCAAATGCTACCGAAACTCTACCAAGTTGCTGGCGCAACATCATTCCCATAGCAGAAACTCTCTCGTTATCGCTACGCTCTCTAATAGATTCCTTCATGGTGCGGTGAGCGTGGAACGAACACGCATAGATTTCCGTCGTCGTTGATATTCGCGTTCGTATACTCGCCTTGGCGTGCGGCGTTAGTGAAGGGCGCTTATTAATCTAAGTTGAACCTCTCTTGATTTCCCTCCAGTTACGTTCTCGGACCCAAGGATAGGGCGTTTGGTAATTTATTACCACTCGTCTGAGGACCCTTGTGAGGTGACCCCGAGACGAGGGATTTAAGGAAGGGGCACTTTATTTTAATTTGTGGTACCTTATAGAGACGTCGTAGAGGATGAGTACTGAGGAGGCGAATGTGGAGGCCGGTAATTTGCGCACTCTAGAGGAGGATCTCGTGGCTCGCCATTCTCGTGGTGAGATTAGTGATATTGAATACGAGCTAATGTTGGAGGGATTGCGCTCGCGTCGGCGTCGTGAGCACCCTTCCACACGTGTAGAGAATGTTGAGCAAGTTGCGGGAGGTACTAGTGCGTGGGATATGGCTGTCGATGGCGGAAATAGCGATGACGAGGAGTTTGATGGGTTGATGTCGCGTGGGGTCCTGCGAAGACCAACTCGGTTTAGTACGGCTAGCGTCGGCGGTGTACAGGAGCGTGTTCATCGTGCAGCAGCGTCACGAGAGCATGCGAATGTAGGACGGCGAAGCGTTGCTGGGGGAGGAATTGCGGAAGAGTTCGATAGTGAGACTATGCCGGGCGTTACCCCGATTGGATCGATGTCGAGGGACGAGGGAATAGCCCCCAACTATGGCTACTTCAGATTCACTCCAGACAAGATCGTTGTCACTAGTCCGTTAGAAGGACGTCACGACCTGTCGACGTGGACAGAATCAATCGAGCCGCAGCTTGAGATCGCTCAGCTAAAGCGATTCATAGATGGCACCACCCCTATTCCACCAGCGCGTGCGCTTGCGCATCTCTCTCAGTTCCGCGCGATGCAGTTGCTGACATTCACCACTATTTCCCGATGCTGCTCCCCAACCGTACAAATCGCCCTTAAGGCGTGTCGCATGAAGGTTGATGCCGGCTATCAGGCATGGCAGTTTATTATACGCACGTACATGGCGAAGGACGATCTGTACATCGGTCAGTTAGAGCAGGCGCTCACTAACCTCGAGATGGGAGAGCATGAGTCCGCTACGTCCTATTGCAACCGTGCGCAGCAGATCCTAGTGAACCTGAGGATGGCCGGCGTAGATTACTCGCAGGCGTCGTACATCACTCACGTTGTGAAGGGGTTGCCGCAGCAGTACAACCTCTTACGCAGGATGCTGAAGTTGCCGCAGGTGCGCAAGGAGTTGGACGAGAACACCCTCGCTAGCTACATCATCGAGGAGGAATGTACGCTGGCGTCAGAGGGACGAAAGGACCAATTCCTTCCCCAGGCTAACCAGGTCTTTACCAAGAAGGGTAAGCCCCAATTCCAGCAAAATTCGTTCCCTTCCCCTCCCACTACGGCACAGCAACAACAACCTAAGAATGGGGGTGGGCTTAGTGGGGGAGGGGAGAAGTGGAAAGGGGGTAAGGATGGCCAGCCGAAGGGGGGGAAAGGGGGCTTCAAAGGGAAGTGCTATGTGTGTGGACAAATAGGGCATGTTGCTAAGTACTGTCAGCAGCGGGCGGATAAGGAGGCAGACACCGGTGGAGAGGGTTCTGGAGGTAGCAGCGGAAAGGGGGGTGATGGCTCTAAGGGGAGCGGGCAATCATCATGTGCGATGGTGAAGCCCGTTGTGGAGCAGACTCCTCTCGTTGTGCTAGAGCCTGAGGGCGGGGAGGCCTTACAGGCTGTTGCAGCTGCTGTGAAGGCGAACCCGAGCGTCGTGCTGCTTGATAGCGGATGCTCCCACCATCTCATGGGAGATCGTTCTGCCTTTGTGGAGATGAGCAGCGGCGGCAGTATTAAACAGGTTACTGGCTTCAACGGCGCGCTTCAGGAGGTGCAGGGGCGGGGCACAGTCGCTCTTCTTGGAGAGGGGGGCAGGCGTGTCTTGGTGCCGGACGTGCTGTACGTACCAGGAGTGCAGGCGAGTCTTCTCTCTGCTGGGCAGCTGCGTGAATGTGGTGTGCAGTTGCTGGATGCCGGGGATGTAACTTTGCTGCGGGCACCAGATGGATCGCTCCTTGGTCGTGCGGAGTTCAAGGGGCGTGTTCTCTGCACGAACTTCCAGCCGTGTTCGACGCAGCAGCAGGAAGGCGAAACGGTGGCACTTCGTACCTTGGCGACGGGCGTGCGGTCTAAGGGGGACCTGTGGCATGCGCGTATGGCACACGTTGGTATTGATGCCATCGAGCGCACAGCGGCTCACGGGTCAGTGAAGGGCTTGGATTTGGAGAAGGGGGGCAAGTCAGGCATACCTTGTGTTTCTTGTGTTGGGGGAAAGATCACTCGTCATACCTTTCCTTCTGTGGGAGAGGAGGAGGATGAGTTGCTCGGGTTGGTGCATGCTGACCTGTGTGGCCCTTTCCGTGAAGCAGCTAAGGACGGCAGCCGCTACTTCTTGGTGCTGAAGGATCGCAAGACGCGATATGTCTGGGTCTACCCTTTGGCCCAGAAGAGTGATGCGCTGGCGGCGATCCAAAAGTGGCTCCCGATGGCAGAGCGACAGTGCAAGACCACGGTGCAGGCGCTGCGCACTGATCGGGGTGGCGAGTTCCTGGGGCACGACTTCACGCTCTTCCTCGACGGTAAAGGCATCATCCATGACCTCACATGCCCGTATACGCCAGAGCAGAACGGGATGGCCGAGAGGGAGATGCGCAGCATTGTGGAGGCGGTGCGGACGATGTTGCTGCACATGGGTGTGCAGCATCACTGGTGGCACCTGGCGTTGGCTCAGGCCGTCTGGGTGCGCAACCGCGTGGAGCACGCCTCACTACCCTCTGGTGTGACGCCATACGAGCTCGCCTTCCGACGCAAACCTGATGTCAGTATGGTGCGTGTTTGGGGCTGCATGCTGCAGTACATGGTACCACGGTCGCAGCGTGGGGGGAAGCTGGCGCCTAAGGCTCGCTGGGGGTTGCACTTGGGTGTGTCAGCTGCGAGCAAGGGCTGGACCGTGCTGGACTTGGAGTCCAACCGCCTCATCACCACTGTGGAAGCTGTGTTTTATGAGACAATGTCCCTAGCAGGATGGAAGGCTTGGCATCAGCAGGAGCATGGGGGGCGTTCGATGCCCTATGAGCCCCTTCCCTCACTCTTCCCGATCACTCTCGAGGAGGCGGAGGAGGAGGAGGAGGTGGTCGCACCTCCTACTATGCCCTATGTCCCTACCTCGGTCCCCACCCCTCCTCCGCCTTCAGTCTACCCGCCTTCTTCCTCCTCACCCCCCTTGGCTTCCCCTAGTCCTCCTGGTATTCCATCTCCCCTTCCACCCTCCATCCCTCCTGCACCTGCTCCGCCCTCCTCTTCGTCTTCCATGGCGCCGCCCGTTGGTGGGGGGGGGATGGAGGTGCCACCGTCTGTGGAGATCACCGACGGGCAGCGCCTTGAGACTGAGCAGCTGCAGGACGAGAGCAGTATGGATGGAGTACAGCAGACAGGGGAGCAGCAGATTGGGGAGCAGCAGATAGGGGAGCAGCAGAGTGGGGAGCAGCAGATAGGGGAGGAGCGGATTGAGGAGCAGCAGATGGTGGACCAGCAGCTAGGGGAGCAGCAGACAGGGGAGCCGCAGACAGGGGAGCAGGAGATGTGGGGAATTAGAGATGGTGGTCGTGTGTTGGTTTCTGGGACGACCACTGCACCAGTGCGTCGCTCCACTCGCATCACTCGTGGTGTCCCGCCTGTTCGATACGCTTGGGCTGTAGTGGTTGAGCCAGCGGGCTTGGATGACGAGGAGGAGGACGAGGAGTGGACTGACCTGGACCCGGACGTTGCAGCTGATCCTGAGAGGCAGTGGGACATAGCGAAAATGACAGTGAAGGAGGCCTTGGGCTGCTGGAAGGGCGACAAGGTGAAAGAGGCGATGGATGAAGAGATGCGGAGCTTGATTGAGCAGGGGACGTGGGAGTTGGTTCCGCGTCCGCCAGGGGTGAATGTGATGAAGAACCGATGGATTTTGAACACCAAGTTCCGACCTGATGGGATAGTGGAGCGTGAGAAGGCGAGGCTGGTGGTGAAGGGGTTCACGCAGGTGGCAGGGGTGGACTATGAGGAGACGTACGCCCCTGTGGGAAGCTATGTGACGGCGCGTGTGCTTCTGGCGATTGCAGCTACACTTGATTTGGACCTGATGCAGCTCGATGTAAAGAATGCGTTCCTCCATGGCGTGTTGGACCGAGACCTTTATATGGAGCAGCCGAGCTACTACGAGGATGGGACTCCTCGTGTCTGTAAGTTGGTGAAAAGTCTGTATGGGCTCAAGCAGAGCCCGATGCTATGGTATGAGGCCTTGGATGGGGTGCTGCTTGGGGCTGGATGGAAAAAGAGCAAGGTGGATGAGGCTCTGTACTTCAAAACTGATGCTGATGGGGAGATGTGCTGGCTGCTGGTGTATGTGGATGACCTGCTTGCTGCCAGCCGCAGTCAGAGCATGCTTGGGGAGCTGCGTGAGCTGCTGCAGAGTGCGTTTCAGCTGCGGGAGATTAGCCCTGTGGAGAAGTATCTGGGGTTGCAGCTGATTCGGGACAGGCCTACGAGGAGGCTGTGACTGCACCAGGGGGCCTATGTGGACAAGGTTCATAGGCGCTTCTTTGACGGGGAGCAGCCGCTGCGAGTGCCTCGCACCCCTCTTTCCTCTGACCCTTTCAGTGTGCAGACCTTTGAGGATGTGGGATGGCAGTCTCGCCAGGAGGAGGAGTACAGGCAGAAGGTGGGATCCTTGCAGTTCGCGGCCTGTACCACCCGTCCCGACATCTCGTTCGCCTGCAGCAAGCTGGGGTCGGGCCAGAATGTGCGGAGTGATCAGCACTGGAAGGAGTTGGACCGGTGCTTGACGTACTTGGTGGGGAGCAGGGATGTGGCGCTGGAGTTTGGTGGTGGGCCGGAGTCCTTGGAGCTGGTGGGCTACGCCGATGCTGATGATGCAGGGGACAAGCAGAACAGGACCAGCACAGGTGGCTATGTCTTCGTGCTCGGGGGTGCTGCTGTCTCATGGGCAAGCCAGAGGATTCGTTGCGCCACCCTCTCCTCCACTGAGTCTGAGTATGTTGCTGCTGTGGAGGCTGGGAAGGAGGCGCGCAGGCTGCGCTTCCTGCTGGCAGAGTTTCAACTGCTGAGGAGTGAGGAACCCACTACTCTCTTTGTGGACAACTCCTCCGCCATTTCAGTGGCAGGTGGCATGGGGCTCAAGGGGAGCCTCAAGCACATGGAGCGTCGCCACATGTGGCTGCAGCACATGGTCAAGCGCAGGAAGCTGCAGTTGCAGTACATCCCTACGAGCGAGCAGCCTGCTGACTACCTCACGAAGGCATTGCATTTCCCCGCCTTCAGTCGTTGCTTCGAGGCTGTGGGGCAGGTGAGGCTTTCGAGTGCGGGGGGTGAGACCTAAACACTCCATGATGTGGATGGTGCCATGGCCTATCCATGGCTGGTGCGGTGCGTGTTTGCACTTTGAGAGTGCTTCGTTTGTGTGTGTTTCCGTTTGGCGTGTACGTGTGTATGCATGCCCTGTGATTATAAAGGGCCTTGCTGTAGTATGGCAGGGGAGTGTTAGAGGGCCCTACAACAGCAAGGGCCCTCGATCACCTTTGACTTGGCAGGTCGACGCCTAACGACTGAGTCTACTCGGCACCGATGAATGAGTTCAGTGAAGGTCGGGTGTGACTACGTGTGACTATGTGCAACTGCGCAGGAGTTCGCATGAAGAAGCGAGAGTCCGTGGGAGTCGTTGGTGCTTCCTTGAGAGTCGCACCACTCCTTGCTGTGTTGGTGGAGTGGTGTGCACGGAAGCGAGAAGTCGATGCTGAGTTGGGTTGGGAAATTGGCGAGGCGCGTTCGCTCACCCACACACCACTTTCGTGGGGTTGGGTTACTCGCAGCGCCCACGCAACCTCTTGTGAAACCCTCGCCTGCCTATATATGTTTGTGTTGCTTGTGTGTTTGATATAATTTTATATGTTCCTAGTGAAGTCCAAAATGCTACTTCAATTCTCACCAAGTCCTTAGAGGCAAATGCTACCGAAACTCTACCAAGTTGCTGGCGCAACATCATTCCCATAGCAGAAACTCTCTCGTTATCGCTACGCTCTCTAATAGATTCCTTCAACGTGAGATTTCGAACTGACCGGTAGAAAACGGAGCGTCTTTTCTGGAACCAGCGGCGTAAGCATTCGCGACCAACGACGCGGCAAGGAAAGCTGGACGACGAACACACACACGACGAGAGGCGAATTTATCAATCGGGTTACCATGCCTGGTTGACAGCTGGCATGCAGTGAGTATGGAGTGAGCTAACATTGACGTTGCGGATTCTCTCTAGGGGTAACGCTTACCCAATAGTAAGACCGAACGAGCACGAATGAAGGCCATGAGTTCAAGAATAGTCAAATGAGAATCGGTTCGCGAGAGGGAGCCAGTTACTGATTTCTATTAAATAGGTCCAGCGAAATGCAGAAATACGCCTACGTGGGTTTCTAGGGACTGGAGTTACCCTCATATATCGTCACATTGAGGCTCGGAGATGGAAAAACGTCAGAAAGGCCCGGCGTCACATTTGATTCCGCGAAGGTATTTCAGCCCAACGATAGGAGGAGACGACGCGCATCGAGTGCCATCGGGAACATTGATAGCACTGGGGAGCGCACCAGCCGGAATAACATTGGCGTCACTCTTGCCAACTCGTTCTGAAATGCTATTGGCCGCAACTCAATAATAGCAGCTCTAGGCGAGAAAATAGGCGAGCCGCGAGTGTGACGCGTTGCTGAAATCGTGAAGGGAAGCAACGAAAATGAGGAAAATTAAACCTGGTGAGGTGCAGTAAGTTTCTACACGGTGAATCGTGGTTTCGGCTTTCACCGCTTTCGAACGTGATGCACCAGAACAGGCCATTGTGGTCCTCAGCTTCTTCGGCCAACACAGTCGGTGCAATTCGGTTTCCGAATGTTCTATTTGTTTGCTGTGCAATGCAGAGGGCATCAAGCGGGTCAGCCTTCCCTTGCGAACTGGTTCGACGGGCAGGAACTAGTGTGGCAAGTACTTGCGGACTGTATTCAGCCAACAGTAGCACTATCGCGTACGCTGGATGTTACATATGAACAACCATATACCGGAGTTCACTTACCGGTACATGTGAGGAACACACTTACCTAGGAAAATAAGGAGCCTCACCACTTCCATAGCGCACCCTGACAATAGTAATGAAATCATAACAAGTTTCTGCTGTCGGCCATCTGCTCAGACACCACCAACAGAGCATAGTTTTTGTATAATATTTTGCATCTACTCTTGCAGATGCTTTATTCCTTGCTCATCGACTGTCAAGTCCTCAGCTTGTTTGGTTATCTAGCCCCTGGAGAGCTGACCACGCACGGCACCATCAGAATACTTCTTCGTGTGAATATTCCCATAGTGCCCCTTCGGATTCTTGGAGATATCCTTAAGCGCTGACACGAGGTCGTTGGTGCGTTCGTGCTCCTTCTTCCCGAGGGAGCCCTTGCAGCGCCAGTCGGTGCGGCTCTTCCTCTCGTACGAGCACGGCAGGTCCAGCAGCACGGGGTTGTTCTGCCCCTTGTTCCCTGGGTGTATGTGCGTCTTGGTTGGCGGCATCTCGCCTTCCAGCTTCAACGCTTTCACCGAATACTCCAGCCATGTAGGCTTGCCATCCTCCCTGATCACGGATGGTCACCAGAGGTATCAAACGAAGCTGAAACAAGTGTAGGCAGGACATCGGCTACTCATGCATCACAGATGTAGCACAGCAAATGAAGGAGGAAGACTCACTTGTAGATCTTAAGCTTCATGTGGACCATCCCTCGTTTGTCCCCGACAGCTTTCCTGGCAGCTTCGGTGTTGTTCTTTGGAACCTCGTTGGCTCCAATCAGCAGAGAGTTAAAACGCTCTGTTGAAGGGAGAACGAGGAGGGTGAGTGAGGATGAAGTGACAGAAGACAAGGAGAGATGATGCAAGAATGGGAAGGTATGAAACGGAAAGACATGGTAATTAAGGAAAATGACGGATAGCAAAGGCAGATGGAAGGGACACGCACCAAAATCCTTATCGTCGTCCGAGTAGGCAAGGGCCACCAGTGCCGCGAAGAATGCTGCACGCTCGCAACACATGCGATAGAGGTCGATGCTCAGGCAGGGTTATAATGCAGCGCCGATTATTTTCCAATTTAAACGAAAAGAATTGAGAAATTAGGGAAAAAAAAATGGAAACGTTGAGAACATAGAGGATCGAGAAGCGGCTCTGATTTCATACCAACGTGTAGCACGCGGGCTGGAGTTGAGGCCATGATTCAAAAGACGAGACACAGAACCACGGTCTGCAGGAGGAAACGGTTTGTAGTAGCTAGAAGTGTGGGAGCTGAATTAGTGAAAGATGGATCGTTGATTTAGTGTAATGGATGGATGAAACCCCCCTCATTTATAGGCCACGCCAAAATAATTGCTCTGCGCCGAAGAGACACGCCATTAGGTAGGGCTGGCTGGGATTGAGTGACGGGTGAGGCTCCGACGCGCCTCCTATAATTGCCGTTGACCCCAAAAAGAGGTCAAGCGGAAATGCAATAGCGTCGAATTGGAAATCGTCATCCATAGATTGCGAGGAGCAGTAATTGCGACAGTCAAACATTGGAAACATGCGTCGAATTGCACAGGCGAGGAGACGTGCCGCATTTGGCTGGTATTGATGCGCAGCTATCCTCATAATTGTGACGCCTCCTTAGAGCTAGCAGGAAAGCAATGCCAACGCAAAGGTGATGCAGGCGGTATTTCGTTTCTATGCAATTCAAAGCGGTACAAGACCTCATTGACATTAGGCAGAAGACGGGAAGGCTCCACTCTACGAAAAGGTGCACTACGGTGGCAGTCACAGTCCGCTGATAGCTTCCCCAGTTCGGTTTGCAATGTCACCCTGTGTGCGACATCCACACATCGCGAATCTTCGCAAAACTCTTGGATACATCTGGTACACTACGAACACCTCAAGAATTAACAACACGTGGTAAGACTTTATCTCACTTATTTACCTGTTAAGGATCCGCACTGTTTCAACAGCCTTCATCAATGTACGGACTGCAGCTTGCTTACAAATGTCTAAGCATAGCCTTCAAGTAATCAAAGAGAAAAAAATATAACATCGTAGGATAAATTCCACCAGAATCCGTAGCTGTGGCGATGCACTACTCTACTCATCAATCCAACCCCCAATATTCGGACCACCGGCACCATCGAACGGGCCTCGACCACCAAAACGCGGATGGTCCTCCACTCCTCCACGGGGGTCCATGGGGGGAAAGCCACGGAAAGGCCCTCTAGGTCCTTGATCATTGAGAAATGGTGGCGGGCCAAACGGGGGCCCACGAAGGGGAGGGCCATATGGGGGAGGCCCATGTGGTCCCCCTTGAGGAGAAGGGAAGAATTCTCCTCGGGGGCCTTGCGGTCGAAAAGAATCACCACGTGGAGGAAGAAGGTCCGGCGGGCCTTGCATCATGTGGTGAGGCGGTCCCGGGAACCCCCGCTCGTGAATTCCACGAATCTGGACGCTTTCACCAAAATGCTGTGGCGGCATCTGCTGTTGCTGCTGCTGGGAGAAGAAGGGAGGCCTTCCGCCTTGCATTTCGAGTGGCATGTTGGGGGAAAAGGGATCCATGGACCTCGGGAGCTCCATCGGTGGTGGGCGGACGGGCGAATCTGCAACAACCATCACACGATGCGTGCCGACCATCCGCACAGTCACCGGCGCAACCTCAGTAAGAGGCTCCATTGGATCTCCCAGCTGCTGCTGCTGCTGCATGTGAGGCGGTGCACCTCCGAAACGCCGCTCTGGAAAGGCGGGTCCATCTTCAAAGCCCGGGGGAATGGGCCCACGGAGAGACACGTGAGGCGGTGGGGGCGCATGCGGGTCGAACGGCGGTACGTGCATGCGGATCACAGGCCCCATGGGTCCCATGGATGCGCTTCTCATGCCGCCTGCCAGATCTCCTTGCAGCCCACCCATGGCCCCTCCCATGCCCCCACCCATGTCACCGCGCATCTCCCCATATCTCCCCCCATGCACCGCTTCCAACCGCTCTGCATTGCGGAGAAAGCTGCCGAAATCCCCCCTCCCTGCATCACCAGCACCCAATGCACCCGCTGCTGCTGCAGACTGCAGCTGTGGGGTGGGAGAGCCCAAACCACCTCCAGCCATCCCAAACCCCCCTTCTCCCCCTCCTCCTCCCCGTCCCCCTCCTGCTCCTCCTGCCGCTGCTCCTGCTGCCTCCAGCCTCTCCGCGTTGCGCAAGAAACTCTCCATTTGATCGGCTCCCCCAATTGCTGCTCCTCCCGCCGCCTCGAGCCTCTCTGCGTTGCGCAGGAAACTCTCCATCTGGTCGGCTCCTCTGAGGATGCGCCCAGAGCTACTAACGAGTACAGCAGCAGCCCCCCCCGGGCCGCCAGCAGCACGCAAACCCTGCTGCGGTGTGCGGGCAGCAAGAACAGGTACAGAAGGCACGCACACAGGGGCAGTGGAACGGAACCCGGGATTGTAAGCTCACTTGAGTTGGCCCGAGCAGGGATGGCCTCCTAAGAGTATCAACTAAGTAGCGTCTGCTGCTTCTCCCTCGCACACAGCTGGCTGAGGCTCTCACTATCTAATCGTCTCACAACCCGAACGTCACACTAATCAAAACTAGTGTTTATGCCTCAGCAAGGGCACGAGTCCATTCGGCTTGCCGTAAGCCGTCTCTGCCTCGTACAGACTCCAAACTTGTTCCGTCTGGAAGTTCGTACCGACCCTAAACTTAAATTGACTACAACTTTGTATTGAGTTTAAAAGTGTTTCGACTTCGAGCCAGTCTTCTATTGAGCTGAGAGCTTGCGCCAGTTGAGCCCACTTGCGCGAGCCTTGTTGTTGACACAGCAGGCCGACCTATGCTAGAGGTCAGCCATAGCTTCTCAGCTCAAGCCGCCCTGGAAAACAGGCTCGTTGACCTAGCCTGCGAAAACAGGACTTGGATGGGTTTGCTTGCCTTGTCATCCAGTCGAAGCGACTTTTGAGTCGACTCAAAAGTCACCTCGTTACAATGGCACACGAAAACAGGACTTGGATGGGCTTGCTTGCCTTGTCATCAAGTCGAAGCCATGAATGCAGGTAAGGATTCTGTGACTTGCATCTGATCCCGTATTTGTGGTAAATGGCATGGCAGCAAGCTTATGCCACTGCCATTGCAGCTAAATCGCCTACTCGAAAGGCGATTAAGACTACGAGACGAGGGGGAGTGCACTGCAGGCCTAGACAGTAATTGAAGAGAAGGTCGAGGTGGAAACCACCTCAAAAGAGGAAGAAACTGGGTTTGGGATCATGGCCAAGCCGGCACGCATTGCCGCAGCCAATTGCCCCACGCCAAGCCACAGCTCCGCTGAGGGTGTGTGTGACCATGTGCGCGAGCCAAGCCGGATAGGCCAGGTCATTGCAAGCAAGGTCACTTGCCAAGGGTCGCGGTGCTAAAACTGGGACCTTGCTGCGACCTTGGCAAGTGACCTTGCGTGCAAGTGAACTAAAACTGGGACCTTGCTGAGGGCTAGAACTGTTAGTTCCTAGTTCCGGTCAAACTCTCCACTGCAAAATGGCCGAGTGCCGGATTAATTTTGAGTCTACTCAAGTGTGACTTTTGAGTCGACTCAGTTGTCGCCTAAAGCTGCTGGTTCTTAACTCCGGTCAACCTTCTCACTTTTGAGGCGCCTCAAAAGTCTAAAGCTGCTGGTTCTTAACTCCGATCAACCTTCTCACTGCGACGTAGCGAGATTGCGGAGACAGCTAGCTAGCTATCGAGGCTTCTAAAAAGGTCCCATTTGTGGTTTGGCCAAGAGCAAGAGCATGGCGACTCATTTTGTTCCAATGCGTCTCATTTTGTACCAAGGTATCTCATTTTGTTCCAAGGCGTCTCATTTTGTTCCAAGCCGTCTCATTTTGTTCCAAGGCGTCTCAGTGTGTTTCAAGACGTCTCAAAAGAGGAGCGAGATAAAAGCTGCTTATCTAGCGCCAATTTTCAGAGGAGCCATGCACTCACCTCCTGGTGCCCTGCAGCACCTTCTCCTTCCACATGATTGAACAAGTGTTTTGAGACGTCTCAAAGCACTCACCTCCTGGTGCCCTGCAGCACCTTCTCTTTCCAAGCAGAATGAGAGTGTGGTTCAGCAGCAGTGGCAGCAGCAAACGCCTGAGGGGGGAGCACGGCAGCAGCAGCACCTGGGCCTTTGCCTGGCCCAAACCCGAATTCGAGACGACTCAAAAGCCGCACCTGGGCTTTCCTTCGTCTGGCCCAAACCCAGGAGGCACGGCTAAGACCACTCTCCCCTGCATGCCCTGGCCGCCCAAGCGAACACTGTAGGCAGCAACTGCATTCCTTCCTGCCTTTTACTCACCTCGTGCTGCCTCAGGTCGCCGTCTCCCTCCCCAGAATGAGATCCTGGAAGCAAAAGGCCTGCATTCAGGCCTTCGTCCGAACCAAACCCAGGAGGCACAGCAGCCAGCCACCACCCTCCCCTGCATGCCGGGGCCGCCCAAGGGAACACTGTTGGCAGCAGAGAGCGCACCTCCCAAGGGAACACTGTTGGCAGCAGAGAGCGCACCTCCCAAGGGAACACTGTTGGCAGCAGAGAGCGCACCTCCCAAGGGAACACTGTTGGCAGCAGAGAGCGCACCTCCCAAGGGAACACTGTTGGCAGCAGAGAGCGCACCTCCCAAGGGAACACTGTTGGCAGCAGAGAGCGCACCTCCCAAGGGAACACTGTTGGCAGCAGAGAGCGCACCTCCCAAGGGAACACTGTTGGCAGCAGAGAGCGCACCCCCCAGGGGCTGGCCTAATCCCTCTGCCTCGCACTCACCTCGTGCTGCCTCCAGCCCCCTCCCCTGCATGCCGGGACCGCCCAAGGGAACACTGTTGGCGAAGAGACAGCTATATTGAAGTGACTTTTGAGAGCTCTCAAAAGTCCGCCCAAGGGAACACTGTTGGCGAAGAGACACTGCACAAAAGGCTGCCCTAATCCCTCTGCATCGCACTCACCTCGTGCTGCCTCAAGCCGCCCTCTCCTTCTCCAGGAAAAAGAAAGCCACCTTGCTGCCCTTGGTCCGGGCCGAACCCAGGAGGAACAGCAGACACCACTCCTCCTTGCATGCCCTGACCGCCCAAGGGAACACTGTTGGCAGCAGAGAGCGCACCGCCCAGTTGTTGGCCGAATGAAATGGGGACCCCAATGGCGCCTGAGAGGGAGTTTTGAGGGCTGACGAACATGGGGGGGTGTGGGCCTTGGGTGAGGTCGAGAACGAGAGGGAACGGGGTGGGTGAAGGGAGGGCAGGGGCGGGAGGGAGGGAGGGCATTTGTGGACTGGAAAACTCTCCTGCTTCTGCTTCTGCTTCTCTTCCTTCTGCCGCTTCCCGCTCCCTCTGCCCCCTCTCCTCTGCCTCTCGATACTTTCTCTCGCGCCGCTCGTTCCACGCCTCCTCTCCTCTCCTCCCACCACCCCGCTCCTCATACCCCCCCTCCCTTCTCTCTTCCCCATCCACATCCCTCCCACGCATGTACCGATGCTCGCGCTCCCTCACACCATACTGACTCCCATCACCACCCCTCTCAACAACTCTATCACCCCCACGCTCCAGACAGCCACCAGCCACTCTCTCTGCGCTTCGCCCGCGGTCTCTACTGTAATGGCCGCCCCTATCACGCCCCTCACCATAGCCCCTGTCATGCACTTCACCATAACCCTGCCGTAGATGCCCTCCTTGCTCGTGCCGGCCCCTCTCTCTCTCGTACCGTGCCCCCTCTCCTCCATGCCCACCCCTTTCTCGCCCACGCCTGTGGTGTTGCTGCTCTGCCCAGCTCTGCGTTGCATCAAACTCACCCCTCCGGGCCCAACCTGCCCTCCCCACACCCCCTGCCCACTGCTCCTCCTCCCTCCTCCACTCCTCCCTTCTCCTCTGCTCCTCCTCCCTCCTCCACTCCTCTCGCCTCACCTCTCTCCTGCGCTCCACCTCTGCAGATTCGACCTGTCTCGCCTTTTCCTTCTCCCTCTCCCTATCCCGCTCCCTCTCCTTCTCCCTCCCCTTCTCCCTCTCCCTCCCCCTCTCCCTCTCCCTCTCCCTCTCCCTCTCCCTCTCCCTCTCCCTCTCCTTCTCCTTCTCCTTCTCCCTCTCCTTCCCCCTCTCTCTCTCCCTCTCCCTCTCCTTCCCCTCTTTCCCCTCTCTCCCCTCCCCCCCTCCTCTCTCAACCCTCGCCTCGTCCTTATCCCTAGTATCCCTGGAAGCTCTCTCCTCCCCCTTACCACTCAAAGTTTCCTTCTCTCCTTCCTCCCTACCACTAACTTCCTTTTTATCCTTCTGCATCTCACTCTCCTTCTCCCTCTCCTCTCCACTCTCCCTCTCCCTCCCCCTCTCCTTCTCCTTCTCCCTCTCCTTCTCTTTCTCCTTCTCCTTTTCCTTCTTCCTCTCCCTCTCCTTCCTCCTCAATCTCTCCTCCCTCTCCCTGTCCCTCTCCTTTTCTTTCTCCTTCCTCTCCCTCCTCTCCCTCTCCTTCTTCTCTTTCTCGCTCTCCTTCCTTCCCTCCTCATCTCTCTTCTCACTCCCTATCTCAACCTTCACTCTCGGACTCAGCCCACCAATCGCCAACCTCTTCTCTCCTCCCAACCTCTCACCTCCCAACCCGGCCCCATCAATCCCACCGCTGCCATTATCACCCACTCCTTTATCCCCCATATAATCATACTCCCGCTTAACCTTCACAATCCGTTTCGCATTCATATCCTCCTCCTCCCTCCGAAGCTGTTTCATCCCCACCATCTTTCTACCCTCCTGCTCTCCTTCTCCTCCTCCTCCGCCCTTATCAATGCCCAGGACATCCAGCCCAACCATCTCCTCTCCTTCATTCTCCCTCTCTTCCAAATATAGCTGCTGCCCTCCATCCCCGTTACCAACAGCAGCACCAGCCGCAGCATCATCACCACCACCGCCAACATCACCACCACCAGCAACACCACCACCTTCATCAGCACCCCCAACTTCATCTCCCGAAGCTCTTCCCTCAGCCAAGCCACAGCCAGCCCGAGCCCAGATGTTAGGTCCGAGAAGTATAAGAGATTGCGATTCAGCAGCAGCGATGGAACCAGGGTCGAGACCTGAGAAAATGAGAGGAATTACAGATTGAAAAAAAAAAAGGAATTAAACTCCATCTGATATGGGTGGAGCATTCCAAGTCGAGCCTTTTTGCTTGGATGAACAGTAGAAGAAAGGGGGAAGGCCACCCTAGCAACAAAGGAATTGGACGTTTGCAAGGGATCGAGGCAGTGTGAACAAACGAGGGCAGCGGACTCCATGGGAACTCTTGCAGGAGTAAAAGCGGGTTGCATTGACGTGATTGAGGAGCAAATGATGGTCGAGACATAAAAGCGGGTTGTAAAAACCATTTGAGGACCAATGGTGGATGAGGTCTCGACCATCATTTGCTCCCAACCATCAGTTGACGAGCACAGGCCCCGCCCTCGCTTGAGCGAAGCCGACTTCGTTGTTGGCTAAGCTTCGTGGTCGACACCGACTTGGAGGAGCAAGTAGGCGCGCTTGGATAATCGACCACAGCGAAACTGGCGACAACGAACCCAACCACAGCAAAGCCGGCCTCGACGACGCCGATCACGGTCACGCCGACGTAGTCGGCAAACACCGTAGGGCCGCAGCGGTCGACGAAGGCGATCGTCGACATGGCGCCGACCTACAGGCGTCGATCGACCGTCAAAGTCGGCGCCGACTTAATGGCCACTTTTGGTCTACCTGGTAACTGGTCGGCGAAGTTCTACGAGGGTGCGCGGATTTCGCCCAAAGTAGATTTGACGAAGTCGACCTGCGGGTCAAGCATCACGTGCTCGATAACATAACATCTGCGCATCGTGCGTGACGATGCACGCGCAACCGTCTACTTGCACCTACCTGGTGAGGCGCACATGTGCGCACATGGTCACCTTCGATTGCAACGCTGGCAAGCCACTTTGCTGCAGCGTTGGCGAGCCACCCAAGTGCAATGCTGGCAGGCCACCATGTTGCAGTGTTGGCAAGCCGTCTTCCAGCTGCGTTAGCACATGGCGCCATCTTGCGGCATTGGCAAGCAGCCTTTGTGTTGCACTGGAGGCCGACTTGCTAGGTTGCATTGTGTTCTGCTATATCGACTATGCCATGTCGTTCTGTTAAATGACCTTCCAACTTTTGTCAGTGAAACTCTTGCCAATTTCACCTACGAGCAAAAAAAACTTAAACAAGTTTTAGAGAACGCTACGATCACACGTACAACCCGAGTCCTCCTCTGTAGTCTACTACCGTTGTAGAGTGAATCTCCCCTCCCCACCATCACTTGCTCGCATCATCATTCTTGGCACTCGCATTCGTTGTGCAATATTCTTGCAAATTGACAGCTTAGCTTGAGCACAACATCGAACCACTTCGAGCTTCTATTTCCACTATGACATTTGGACTGATGTGAAGGGTATAATCAACGCACCTGTGGTGGAGATGGAGGTTGCAACTTTTAGCTCTGCGAGCAGCGAGGGAGGCATGGGCCGTGGAGAAGAGAAGAGGCCCCTTGTGTGCCCGAGGTGGTCAGCCAAAGGACCGTAGCTGAGAGGGTGGGAAAAGAATGGGGTAGAGAGGACAAGATGGTTATCAAGGCAGCTCAGATAGGATATAATATTTAGTCGACTAAGAAAAGGGGTCCTTTGTGTGCCCGAACGGCAATGCTTAAAAAGAGTGAGGGAAGAAAGGGAGAAAAGAGGAAGATTGGAATGGAGAGACATGGGATAAGAAGGAGTGCACAACAAGAAAGGAGACAAAAAATTGGTGACTCTGGCAGACAGGCATACATGGGCAAACATGGACATGCATAAACAGGCATGGGAAAGCAGACATGGGCAAACATCGGTAAACATGGCAGACATGGAAGAGAAGACTTCTTGGTGCCCCAAATGCTAGTCAACCTTTCACAGCACTCGTTATGAACCCTAAACCCTAGAACGTAAACTTTCCTTCACTTACTGGTGGACGAGGTCATTGCGGCACCAGAGGTATAAAGGCGGGGGGATGTTATTCCATTGGTTCATTGTCTTGTTGTCCTTATCATGCGAGCCTGGCAAGTAGAATGCGCGATTCTCAAAAATCTTCTCGTCCCTCCACAGTAGCGTATACCCAAGTGGGCCCAGCTGTCGCGTCTCCGGAGGGACAATGAGAATGATGAGCTTGGGTCGGAAGACGGAGGCGGCACGGCTCGAAAAATTCGAAGCGAGTTGCCCTCGCACGCCGAAGGGCGGGTTGAGGCCCATGATAAGGCGATTGCTGTGAGGGAGCTGGTTCCTCTGTTGGCGTGGGAGGCAAGGGAGAAGGGAAGAAGTTGAGGATGTGCAAAGGATAAAAGGGAAAAGCCGGGTTGAGACCAATGATCATGCGTTTGTGAAGGAGGGAGCTCGTTTCTTTGTTGCGGTGGTATGAGTTGGAAGAGTTAAGCAAGAAGACAAGAAGACGACGACGATCAATTGTTGCTGACAAGATGACGTTCCCTCGGCCATAAGGGCATCCCCTTATTCCATTTGTCCAGTAAATCCATTCATCCAACAAATAAGTGTGCCATGTGTTTCCAACTTCCCACCATACCATGCCTTCCCCACATGCCATGCTTTCCCCCACATGACATGCCTTCCCCCACATGACATGCCTCACCCCCACACCATGCCTCCCAATCTCCACCAGCGCCATGTTTCGAGTCGACTCAAAACACGCCCCCACACCATGCCTCGCCCCACACCATGCCTCGCCCCACACCATGCTTCGCCCCACACCATGCTTCGCCCCACACCATGCTTCGCCCCACCACACCATGCTTCGCCCCACCACACCATGCCTCCCAATCCCCACCAGCGCCACCCACCTTGGTCTAACCAGTTGAGATTGACAAAGAAGTACCCAATCATCCACTCACCATTTGCACCCAGCAGCACCCATCAGCACCCATCAGCACCCAACAGCTCCCAGCAGCACCCAGCAGCAGCACCCATTCGCACCCACCTTGACGGAGAACCAGTCCCGCTTAACAAAGCAGAACTCATTGGGAGGCCGCATGATGTCGAAATTCGCAAACCCACACCGCTTCCCCGCCTCCTCAAGCCGATGCCTTGCGATCAGCGAGAAGTGGTTCGCCCCGCAGCAGAAATCCACCAGCACGTCCCCCTCCTCCATATAAGGCACCAGCCGCTCCACCACCTCGTTAAGCTTCTCAGGCATCGTGAAATGCCGCCCGAACGACGTGTACCGCTGCCCGTGCACGTACGGGGAGAGGTATACCCGCAATGTACCCCCGATTACGTTCAGCTGATGGAGTTGCTTTTCCGGGCAGAGATTCATTGCCTGCTGCAGCGCTTGGGCTGATATCATTCCTGCTTGCTCCAACTCCCTGGCTAGAAAATTCCGAGCCTTCTCCCCTGCGTGGAGAATCGACTCGAGCTTGCTCAGCGCTATCTTCCGAGGGTTGCCGCCCTGGTTGTTGTTGCCGCCCGCATTGCCGCCCGCGTTGCCGCCCGAGCTGGAGCCCGCGTTGTTGTGGCAGTGCTGGTACATGCGTGGGACGGCAAGGCCGGCCTTGGCCGTCTGTTCTGTGACCTGCTTCGCTGCATCCTCGAAAATCTTGCTCAGGCGAGCTCTGGACGCGTCCAGGTCGCAGGGGTACTGGAACATGTGCCGTGGGGCCTTGCCTGTGATGGCAGAATATGGTGGGGAAGGAAGAAGGGGGGGGATAGGTTCTGTCTGCGTTGATTCAATAACTGGCTGCGTCCCCACATATCTTGCGCAGGCAAGCTCTAGACGCGTCCAGGTCGCAGGGGTACTGGAACATGTGCCACGGGGCCTTGCCTGTGAGTGCCAGATATGGGAGGGAAGGAGCGGGGGAGAGGTAGGTGTCTGTTCTGTGACCTGCTTCGCTGCGTCCTCGAGTATCTTGCTCAGGCAGGCCCTAGACGCGTCCAGGTCGCAGGGGTACTGGAACATGTGCCATGGGGCCTTGCCTGTGATGGCAGAATATGGTGGGGAAGGAAGAAGGGGGGGGATAGGTTCTGTCTGCGTTGATTCAATAACTGGCTGCGTCCCCACATATCTTGCGCAGGCAAGCTCTAGACGCGTCCAGGTCGCAGGGGTACTGGAACATGTGCCGCGGGGCCTTGCCTGTGAGTGCCAGATATGGGAGGGAAGGAGCGGGGGAGAGGTAGGTGTCTGTTCTGTGACCTGCTTCGCTGCGTCCTCGAGTATCTTGCTCAGGCAGGCCCTAGACGCGTCCAGGTCGCAGGGGTACTGGAACATGTGCCGTGGGGCCTTGCCTGTGATGGCAGAATACGGTGGGGAAGGAAGAAAGGGGGGGTGGGTTCTGAGTTGATTCAATAACTGGCTGCGTCCTCACATATCCTGCTCAGGCGAGTTCTAAACGCGTCTAGGTTGCAGGGATACTGGAACATGTGCCGAGGGGCCGCCTGTGAAAATGAAGGGAGGGGGGCAGGGGGGAGAGAAAGAGGGATGGAGGGTGGTGGCAGGCGGTATGGGTGGGTGGATACCTGCAGCTCAGAACAAGCTCTGGACGCATCCAGGTCGCAGGGGTACTGGAACATGTCCCGAGGGGCCTTCCCTGACTTCTAATACTGACATGGAAGAATCCAGTTAAATGCATACCTTTGTTCCACGACTGTGCCATCTCCTTGTGCGTGAGCTTCCCCTTGCGGCTCTGAATGCCTCCATTGCTCTCCATCGAGCATGGAATTATTGGATTTACTTAATAAAATCAAACTCTCTCGAATGAATCCAGGCGAATGCGTGCGTACCTTTGTTCCAGCTCTGCGCCATCTCCTTGTGAGTGAGCCCGCCCTTGCGGCTCTGAATGCCTCCAATACTCTCCATCGCCTTCAGAGCCGCCTCCCTCTCCTCCCTCTCCCTCTCAATCCACGACCTCTTCTTCCCCTTCCCCTTCTCCCCCACCGCTCCTGCTGCTCCTCCTGCCGCTGCTCCTGCTGCTGCTGCTTGTCCTTTCTCCTGTGCTGACCAGGATGATTCAGCAGCAGCGGCAGAAGCAGCAGCTCTGGCAGACGCTGATGCACCTGCTGCAGCCGTCTCGCTCAACCCAAATCCTTCCATCTCCATCTCCTCCTCTTCCTCCTCCTCTGCAGCCTCCTCATCCCCCTCATCATCCACAATCATCCTCCTCCTCTTCACCCTCCTGCCGGCTCTCCGTTCCTCCTCGGTCAACCCCCTCCCCTCCTCCTCTCCCTCATCCTCTTCCGCAAACCACCTTGTTTTTCTCGGTCCCCTCGTCCTCCTGACATCCGGAAATTTATGGTGCCCGCGGGCAGCAGTACCAAGAAAAGGATCCAGTGAATGACGGTTACAGTACATAAGGCTCTCGGCAAACCCATCCCCAACACCCCAAACCCTCTGCGGATTGCTAGGGTCAGTCCCATCAAGTTTCAAGTCTGGTGGGAGGCATTTCACGTGGAAAGATTTCGGGCAGCGGCGGCACGGAACAAGCTTGAAAGATTCTAAATCTCCCTCCCCCAACTGGCACTTAGCACATGTGTGCAACGGGCAGAAAAACATTCCGGACCCTGCCCGGATGTTCCCGGCGACAGTTTCCAGCTCCTTGATTCGTTCCTCGCTGCCCTGGGGCAGCCTTTTAGAATCAGCCAACCACGAGGCGACACATGTCGGGTGGTAGAAATGCCCACAGAGCGCCACGTCACACATAAACACCTCCTGCTCCTGTAGCACCTGCTGCCCCTGCTGCTGCCCCTGCTCCTCGCCCTCCCCCCCACCATCCGTCCCCGAATTCCCTCCCAAAACCGGCTCCGATCGCCCGAGCTGGTGGCAAATAAAGCACACATGCTGCTTTGCCTCGCAATTCGGACACAGCCAGGTCTCCTTTGCATGCACCTCACTATCCGTCAACCCAATGGTCGGGCAGTGGAACTTGTCCCTCCGTTTCTCCTCCTCGTCATCCGGCTCCACATGGAAAGAGCGCATACAGGGGCCGTCACAGCACACCAAGTCACCCCCATCATCACAGATGTAGCACACGCTGTCCCACCCTGCCACTTGCTCATCCTCCTCCTCCTCTTCCTCATCCCCTTCGTACAACCCCTCCTCCTCACCTTCCTCCGAACCTTCCCCGGCACCTTCCTCTCCTCCTTCCTTCCACGATCTGTACCGCGCGTCTCCTCCCCTTCCTCCGCTTCTGCTCCCACCCACATCCATCTCATCCTCATCATCCGAAGCAATGAACCTCCGATCCTTCTCCTCCTCATCCTCCTCTTCCTCCTCCAAAAACCTTGCTACTCGCTTCTTCTTTCTCATCAATCCTCCTGACTTATACGATCCTGCTCTATCCAATCCTGCTCTGCTCATCGGATACCCTATGTCTTCCAAGATCTTATCCCGCACTCGAGCCCTTTCGCTACCTCGCTCACTTTCTCCCTCCTTCTCCTTCCTCTTCTCCTTCTCCTTCTCCTTCCCCTTGTCCCTCTCCTTGTCCTTCCACCCATTCTCGGCTTCCCTGCCCTTTATCCTTTCCTTGTCTCTCTCCCTCTCACTCCCCACTCCTCGCTCTTTCCCACTCCCCCACCTCTCCTTCTCGAGAAACTTCCAAAGACTAGATCTTTTCAGAGCCACGTCATCCTGAATAAAATCTCCCAGCAAATCCATCCACTTTACAAGCCGCTCCAGATCAACGTTGTGTGACCGCAAAAACTGTTTCACCTCACTTTCAGACCAATCAGGATGGAAACGCACGCAGCACTGCGCCCACCCTATCTCCGAACCCAGCCTCCCTGACGCATAACCCAGGCTCGGCTTCCGAACTTCAACCCATTTCTCCCCATGCCGAGCCTGCACCTGAACCTTCACCGAATCTACCTTCACCACTACCCGCCAAGCCACCACATCAACAAAAACTGGTGCTCCCCCATTCGCATCCTTCCCACGCAGATACACCGACTCCTTTAACAAAGAAGAGCTCCATTTCTTATAAAGAGGCAGCCTATAAAAGGAATAAAGCTCTCCAGCGGCAGTTTCTAGGCGGAAATCAGTGACAGCGTCAGGAACACGCACTGCAGCATCCTCATCATCATCATCAAGGTGAGCAATAGGGTTCTTAAACAGTTCCGACTGACCCAACCTACGCCTGGCACCCTCCTCTCTGTCCCCGTCCTCCCTTTCTCCGCCCTCCCTCTCGCGCGCTCCTCCGCCCCCTTCACCGCCTCCTCCTAACCCACCTCCTCCTCCTCCTCCTGTGCCTTTTCTCGCCTCCTCTCCCTTCCTCTCACCCCCTTTGCCAGAGCCCTCCGTTCCCCCGTCTTTCCTCCCTCCAAACCCTGCTGCTCCTGCTACCCCTGCAGCTTTTGCTGCTCCCCCTGCTCCTGCCCCCCCTTCTTTCCCGCGTTCCTCTCCTGCTCTCGCCCTCTCCCCGCCGTCCTTGCCTCTCTCACCGCCCCCGGCTCCCAAGCCCAATCCCCCCTTGCTTCCTGCTCCGATCGCCAGAGCCGTCAGTTTATACGAGCCGGACCGACCCAACGGCACAGCCTTAGCAGCAACCGCAGAGAACCCACCCCCGCCGCTGGAACCACCCGCAACGCCTGCAGCGACAGCAGACACCGCCTTTCCCGAACCTAGCATAGGTCTGGTAGAGACAGCTCCGGGACGCTTCACTCCCCCCACCTCCGCGCATCCGTGCACCTCTCTCCACTTGGGCTTGCTTATACAAAAATCCTCGGGAGTGAGGGGATTTCGGCGGTTCCGATTGTAGCTCTCCAGGTACGCGGTTAACTGGCTAGGAGAATAAAACTTCTTCTTATCCGGGGTTATGTAGAAAATATCCCCTCGAAATTTCGACATCCACCAGAAACCGTCCGGTTCGAACGGCTTTGTCTTCTCCGCCTCGGTTTTTTTCTCCTCCGGATCTAAGCACCGGGCTCCTGGCCTATAGGGCTCTGCCAGGTGGCAGAACCAATCCACAGTTTTGGAATCTGAGAGTTTTTGGAATTCCTCGGGAGGGATTCGACGAAGCTTCTTGCATGTCTTGCAGATGACACGTGGCCAGATCTCGTTGTGACCGGCTTCAGCCGTACGATCCATTTGTATCTTACGGTTCTCAAACCACACACTTCATGAATTAGTAGGTCAATGCCAAGTTTGCGGCAAAGATGGTTGTTGTAAGTCTCGGAACTACAAGCTACTCTTAGTCACTTCGAGAGGAATCGTTCACTTTCCTTACCCATCCGCTTAGGGCATGCGAAGTAAACATAGGAACTCGTCGCCAAGGTAGTGACGATAAGTTGTGCGGTGAAGAATAGACTCTAGCGAGGGAGGGGGGGGGAGGAGCGTGAGTGGCAAGAAAAAATGAGCCAAGGGGGAAGTCACGGTAAACGAGCTGAGGTGAACTGTTATGAGTTGTGAAAGGAAGAGTGCGCAGAACTCAATAATGCGGAAGTGATTACAACGTCTGAGAAAACAACGAGGCCTAGGACTATTATAGCGATGCTAGCTAGGCCTAGGTCGCGGGGTCGCGAGATGGTTGGGTGCAGGTTCGGGGTTGGAAAACCCGAAGGCGACGCGGTGGTGGCTCGGAAGACGTTTCGGCAGACCGAGCCTGGTTTTCCGAAAATCGGGGTTGTACGCGTATAGTGTGACCCAGTGAGGAATCCGGAAATTCCCTACATGAACAATACGCTAGTACATCGTTGGAAGTTATTGTTACAGTACGTTACTTGAATCACTTCAATAACTTCCACCAAATATCTCTTCATCGAATTGATATTATATTGACTAAATACACTAGATAAACCTATGACATACATGGCTTAATCACCTATTATTCTACCTTCCATCTTAGAATGCCAGTTTCCTTGGAATGAAGACTTAAGGTCTGATGCAGACGAAACGGAAGAGCACGATGATAATGACAGGGCAGCAGGTAAAGAAGCGTCTTGGAGGCTCTTGAGCCTGGATCTCCTTCCAGGCAAGATACGGCATGAAAGAATACTAGAGCACAATCCCTCCCCCTCCTTGTCTTCATGTTCAAAAGCCTCACACCACCCTCTCCCAGAAGATGCGGGCAACTCTGTTGAGTTTGATGCATCATCAGAAGCTTTAGAGGGCAGCGAAGATGGGGAGGGGAAGTCACCCTCACTATCAGGCTGGTCGTTGGAGGTTTTGCTTTCCTCGTCCACCCCGTCATCTCCGTCGGCCCCGTTATCTCCGTCGGCTCCGTCACCGTCACATTCACCGGCAGTATCCTCGACAAGCGAAGACCTGTTCATGCGACTTGCTATGGAGATGGGTACACCACAGTCCGCACCCCTTCCGTGCTTATTTTCGCTGTTGTCACCACAGATTGTTGACAATAAATGAGAACCCGTAATTAGCGGGGAATGTCCCTGAAGCCGGGATCTTCTGGTTTGCCTAGATCGTCCAGGTGTCCTCGTGACAGTCGCTTGCGCGTCGCACGGTGCTGACGACGGCAGCACATTGCTCTGCGATCGCGGAATCTTAGCCAGATGTCCAGCCGCTGATTGTGGACGACCGTCAGGGGCATTCGAGTTCAGGGTTTGGCCGTTGTACTGGCGGTCGCCGGGGCTGGTGGTTGGAGAAGCAGGTTCGCTCTTTGGCGATTCTGTCGCAGCTTCTGTTGCGACAACGACACTCAATGCTCGCGGCATGGCGACAGCGTTCGTGGAATTCTCCCGGCGCTTCATGGTTTCGCATTGGGCTGTCGCCGGGCGTAGCTGCCGCGTTTTTGGTCGCTGCGATTGTGCTTGCGACGGTGCATACGACGGAGTGCGCGACGGAGCAAGCGACGGAGCGTCCAACCGAGGCGGAGCGAGCTGCTTCTTCAACCATGGATGCTCCAACACGCCGATAATATCAATCCTCTCCATCGGATCTGCCGTTAACATCCGACGGATCAAATCCTTGGCTTCGAAAGAAATCGACGGCCACGGTTTCGGTAGCAGATCTGACGGCAGCAGTTTGCGACTGTCGTTGGGAAAAGCCGGCCAGTTCGCAGAGAGCATCGCGTAAAGCAACACGCCGAGCGACCAGATATCCGCGCAGTAGTTATACGGCTCGTGCGCCAGAACCTCGGGCGCTTCGTACGGCGCACTCCCCGCTGCTCCGATAATAGCCGAACCCGGTTGTAACGGAAACGCCAGTCCGAAGTCTGCGAGTCGGAGTTGCAAATCTTCCAAGCGTGGGGATTTTTCTGTATCGTCGCCGTCAGCGGAGGCAGGAGAAGCGAGGGAAGCGGGGGACGAAGAGGGGGACGACGAGCCGTTGTCGGACTTTCCGCCACGCTTTGCGGGAGCGGCGGAGTTGGGAGATACCGCCGGTGACGGCGGAACGATAAGAATGTTTTCAGGCTTAATGTCCCGATGCACGACGCGGTTAATGTGACACCACCGCACAGCCCTCGCTAACTGTACGAACAGCCGCGCCGCGACGGACTCCTCCAGCCCCTCGTGCTCCGCTATAAGCGCGAACAGGTCGCCGCCCGCACACAGCTCCGTTATCATGTAGACCGCTTTGTCGTCTTCGTAAAGTCCACGCAGGCACAGCACGTTCGGGTGACCCCGGAGAATCAGCATCGACTGAACTTCTCTCCGCAAATCAGCGAGCTCCACGTGTGACATTCCGCGTTTACGGACCTGCTTGCACGCAAGGGTTTCCCCCGTTATTCTATCCTGACAGCGCCAAATGCGGCCAGACTGGCCCTCTCCGAGGATGTCGCTGAAAAGGTAACGATTAAAGAGCTCTGACGTCGGTAGAGCCATGGCGGATGGACTATCATGCACTGAAACCTCTACCACGTATGTAGTTCGTATGTGTTCAACCTTATCTATACCGAATAAGTACTAGCTACAAAACTGAATGCAAAGAACCGTGTTTTTCGATGGGCCTTCTTCCAGACGGACACGATGGGACATGGAGCGGAAGGTTTCTGAACAACGATGCGTGCATATGCGGTAATCTAGCGTCCGTTCAATTGTCCTAGCTCCTTGGCTCCATCCAGTTCTCACAGCCAAGAGGCCACCCGTGGGGAGGTACCGTACCGCTGTCGATGCAACTTCATCTTCAACTAGGCTGGCAAAGGTGGGTGCGGCGATGGAGTAGATTCTAGGAGACAATGCGAGCAGCGCTGGTCAGAGGCCTGAGGTAAGGCATCGAAATGGTGTGTGTTCGTTGGCATTTCGTTGTCCGTTTGAGCTGGCATGCTGTCGTTGTTGCTCGCACGCTGAAAATAGATCTCCACAAAGCAGCAGCAGCAGTGGTGACTCTGCTGAGTTCCCAAGATTCCCAGGGATGCAAAGCATGTTCCGCGCCTCCCCCCTAACCCTTTTCCTGCTCACACAGTAAAGGGGGGAGGTTGGGGGATTGGGGGGAAATACTGTTCCACAGTGACATTCATCCCAACCGCGGCACGCTCCTCGTGTGCTGTACCCGCTTCGCTGCCACGCGATTGCCCCTCCAGGCGTGCTCCTCCCGCTGGTGCGCTGACATCAGCCCCTGCTGCTCCCTTCCCTTCCCCCATTGGTTTGGTTCGTCGGTTCCCCTCCCGTGCCCGCTGGTATGGCTCGGCTGGTTGGTCCTCCCTCTCCCCTCCCCCGAGTCCCAACCAGCCTTCGCTGGATGCTTCACCTCCTCAAACACCACTGCTCGACCTGTGCTGGGTGCAGTGAAGGAGGCGCTAAAGAAAATGATATCTCTATTATTGAACAGCGGCGGGTCCATGGCGCGCGTTCAATTTCCGTGAGGAATTTTTTTTCAGATGGACGTTACACGAAGAAGTTCGTTCGCCAGACCTCACCTGTTTGAAAATTGTCATGCGCTGCATGGCCAGACCGAACCATTTACACCTTACGATTGCGGTTACAGATTTCGTATCGACACCTGAGTTCTAAAAATATTAAAATTCAAAAGCACAAATACGCCTCTAGAGCGACATGTCGAGCTGAGTCATGTGTTCATTGTCGAGTTACGTCTAAACTCCCGAAAAATCTTTCCGTGGTTCCCCTTCGGCGCAACTCTTTGTAACGCTGCGGGTGAATCTAGACATGTTACACCAAGTCCTCGCCAACTTCACTAGGGCCAATTTCAACCCCCTGTGTATTCATTTTAGATTCACCCCAATTTAAGGGCTGTTTCAAACAATTTGGTTTTAAGGAAACCAACGACATGGACTGCGCACATGAGTCAGCGGAAAAACAAAAGAAACATGGTCGCATCGGAAGATTCAGTCTTTGTGTTGCAATCTCAACGTCAGAAGGGGCAAACATCGAAACGACACAATGCCTCGGATAGCCTCTAGTTCGTGGATGTCTTACCCTCTATAGCCAAATATGGTCAGTTTGGTTTTAAGGAAGAACTGACGGGGCGTGAAATTGGCGAGGACATGGTGTATCAAAACCTCGTGTGCCTGTCATAGCGACCACCACTCGTAAATTGTGATGCCCCTTTCGGCTTCGATGAACGACGACGCAACCCCATGGTGTCCTTTCTCCCGCCCGGATATTGAGCCTGCCATTTTACGTCTACAGTGTACAAGCTCGAGGCACCCTCTTTGTCGGTGACTCGGTGACAAATTTCCGCGCTTCTGGTTTCTACCCAGAATACAATTCTGA